GTAAATACCGCCGGCCAGGGAGCAGCTCGGCATGCGGGTTGGGCTGCGACCATGGCAAAGTCTAGTTTGGACCATATCAGGACCTGCTAAGACACGCCAAGACCAGAACTTGACTAAGCTTTGACTAGCTTGGACATGTTATGACCAAAACATTGACTAAGCCTTGACCACCTTGGACATGTTATGACCAATCTTTGACCAGTGACCCTATGCGGAAACGCTTGGTTTTCCACGAAAAACGACCTTGTGTCACGTCTTGACCTCGTGGGAGTCAAGTAATCCCACGAAAAACGACCTTGTGTCACATCTTGACCTCGTGGGAGTCAAGTAAATACCGCCGGCCGGGGAGCAGCCCGGCCTGCGACCATGGCAAAGTCTAGTTTGGACCATATCAGGACCTGCTAAGACAAGCCACGACCAGAACTTGACTAAGCTCTGTCCAGCTTGGACATGTTATGACCAAAACATTGACTAAGCCTTGACCAGCTTGGACATGTTATGGCCAATCTTTGACCAGTGACCCTATGCGGAAACGCTCGGGTTTTCCACGAAAAACGACCTTGTGTCACGTCTTGACCCCGTGGGAGTCAAGTAATCCCACGAAAAAACGACCTTGTGTCACATCTTGACCTCGTGGGAGTCAAGTAAATACCGCCGGCCAGGGAGCAGCTCGGCATGCGGGTTGGGCTGCGACCATGGCAAAGTCTAGTTTGGACCATATCAGGACCTGCTAAGACACGCCAAGACCAGAACTTGACTAAGCTTTGACTAGCTTGGACATGTTATGACCAAAACATTGACTAAGCCTTGACCACCTTGGACATATTATGACCAATCTTTGACCAGTGACCCTATGCGGAAACGCTTGGGTTTTCCACGAAAAACGACCTTGTGTCACGTCTTGACCTCGTGGGAGTCAAGTAATCCCACGAAAACGACCTTGTGTCACATCTTGACCTCGTGGGAGTCAAGTAAATACCGCCGGCCAGGGAGCAGCTCGGCATGCGGGTTGGGCTGCGACCATGGCAAAGTCTAGTTTGGACCATATCAGGACCTGCTAAGACACGCCAAGACCAGAACTTGACTAAGCTTTGACTAGCTTGGACATGTTATGACCAAAACATTGACTAAGCCTTGACCACCTTGGACATGTTATGACCAATCTTTGACCAGTGACCCTATGCGGAAACGCTTGGGTTTTCCACGAAAAACGACCTTGTGTCACGTCTTGACCTCGTGGGGAGTCAAGTAATCCCACGAAAAACGACCTTGTGTCACATCTTGACCTCGTGGGAGTCAAGTAAATACCGCCGGCCAGGGAGCAGCCCGGCCTGCGACCATGGCAAAGTCTAGTTTGGACCATATCAGGACCTGCTAAGACAAGCCACGACCAGAACTTGACTAAGCTCTGTCCAGCTTGGACATGTTATGACCAAAACATTGACTAAGCCTTGACCAGCTTGGACATGTTATGGCCAATCTTTGACCAGTGACCCTATGCGGAAACGCTCGGGTTTTCCCACGAAAAACGACCTTGTGTCACGTCTTGACCCCGTGGGAGTCAAGTAATCCCACGAAAAACGACCTTGTGTCACATCTTGACCTCGTGGGAGTCAAGTAAATACCGCCGGCCAGGGAGCAGCTCGGCATGCGGGTTGGGCTGCGACCATGGCAAAGTCTAGTTTGGACCATATCAGGACCTGCTAAGACAAGCCACGACCAGAACTTGACTAAGCTCTGTCCAGCTTGGACATGTTATGACCAAAACATTGACTAAGCCTTGACCAGCTTGGACATGTTATGGCCAATCTTTGACCAGTGACCCTATGCGGAAACGCTCAGGTTTTCCACGAAAACGACCTTGTGTCACGTCTTGACCCCGTGGGGAGTCAAGTAATCCCACGAAAACGACCTTGTGTCACATCTTGACCTCGTGGGAGTCAAGTAAATACCGCCGGCCAGGGAGCAGCTCGGCATGCGGGTTGGGCTGCGACCATGGCAAAGTCTAGTTTGGACCATATCAGGACCTGCTAAGACACGCCAAGACCAGAACTTGACTAAGCTTTGACTAGCTTGGACATGTTATGACCAAAACATTGACTAAGCCTTGACCACCTTGGACATGTTATGACCAATCTTTGACCAGTGACCCTATGCGGAAACGCTTGGGTTTTCCCACGAAAAACGACCTTGTGTCACGTCTTGACCTCGTGGGAGTCAAGTAATCCCACGAAAAACGACCTTGTGTCACATCTTGACCTCGTGGGAGTCAAGTAAATACCGCCGGCCAGGGAGCAGCCCGGCCTGCGACCATGGCAAAGTCTAGTTTGGACCATATCAGGACCTGCTAAGACAAGCCACGACCAGAACTTGACTAAGCTCTGTCCAGCTTGGACATGTTATGACCAAAACATTGACTAAGCCTTGACCAGCTTGGACATGTTATGGCCAATCTTTGACCAGTGACCCTATGCGGAAACGCTCGGGTTTTCCCACGAAAAACGACCTTGTGTCACGTCTTGACCCCGTGGGAGTCAAGTAATCCCACGAAAAACGACCTTGTGTCACATCTTGACCTCGTATGGAGCTCAAGAAAATACCGCCGGCCAGGGAGCAGCTCGGCATGCGGGTTGGGCTGCGACCATGGCAAAGTCTAGTTTGGACCATATCAGGACCTGCTAAGACAAGCCACGACCAGAACTTGACTAAGCTCTGTCCAGCTTGGACATGTTATGACCAAAACATTGACTAAGCCTTGACCAGCTTGGACATGTTATGGCCAATCTTTGACCAGTGACCCTATGCGGAAACGCTCGGGTTTTCCAATGAAAACGACCTTTTGTCACGTCTTGACCCCGTGGGAGTCAAGTAATCCCACGAAAAACGACCTTGTGTCACATCTTGACCTCGTGGGAGTCAAGTAAATACCGCCGGCCAGGGAGCAGCTCGGCATGCGGGTTGGGCTGCGACCATGGCAAAGTCTAGTTTGGACCATATCAGGACCTGCTAAGACACGCCAAGACCAGAACTTGACTAAGCTTTGACTAGCTTGGACATGTTATGACCAAAACATTGACTAAGCCTTGACCACCTTGGACATGTTATGACCAATCTTTGACCAGTGACCCTATGCGGAAACGCTTGGGTTTTCCCACGAAAAACGACCTTGTGTCACGTCTTGACCTCGTGGGAGTCAAGTAATCCCACGAAAAACGACCTTGTGTCACATCTTGACCTCGTGGGAGTCAAGTAAATACCGCCGGCCAGGGAGCAGCCCGGCCTGCGACCATGGCAAAGTCTAGTTTGGACCATATCAGGACCTGCTAAGACAAGCCACGACCAGAACTTGACTAAGCTCTGTCCAGCTTGGACATGTTATGACCAAAACATTGACTAAGCCTTGACCAGCTTGGACATAAGTTATGGCCAATCTTTGACCAGTGACCCTATGCGGAAACGCTCCTGTTTTCCCACGAAAAACGACCTTGTGTCACGTCTTGACCCCGTGGGAGTCCTAAGTAATCCACGAAAAACGACCTTGTGTCACATCTTGACCTCGTGGGTGTCAAGTAAATACCGCCGGCCAGGGAGCAGCTCGGCATGCGGGTTGGGCTGCGACCATGGCAAAGTCTAGTTTGGACCATATCAGGACCTGCTAAGACAAGCCAAGACCAGAACTTGACTAAGCTCTGTCCAGCTTGGACATGTTATGACCAAAACATTGACTAAGCCTTGACCAGCTTGGACATGTTATGGCCAATCTTTGACCAGTGACCCTATGCGGAAACGCTCGGGTTTTCCCCACGAAAAACGACCTTGTGTCACGTCTTGACCCCGTGGGAAAGTAATCCCACGAAAAACGACCTTGTGTCACATCTTGACCTCGTGGGGTCAAGTAAATACCGCCGGCCAGGGAGCAGCTCGGCATGCGGGTTGGGCTGCGACCATGGCAAAGTCTAGTTTGGACCATATCAGGACCTGCTAAGACAAGCCACGACCAGAACTTGACTAAGCTCTGTCCAGCTTGGACATGTTATGACCAAAACATTGACTAAGCCTTGACCAGCTTGGACATGTTATGGCCAATCTTTGACCAGTGACCCTATGCGGAAACGCTCGGGTTTTCCCACGAAAAAACGACCTTGTGTCACGTCTTGACCCCGTGGAGTCAAGTAATCCCACGAAAAACGACCTTGTGTCACATCTTGACCTCGTGGGAGTCAAGTAAATACTGCCGGCCAGGGAGCAGCTCGGCATGCGGGTTGGGCTGCGACCATGGCAAAGTCTAGTTTGGACCATATCAGGACCTGCTAAGACACGCCAAGACCAGAACTTGACTAAGCTTTGACTAGCTTGGACATGTTATGACCAAAACATTGACTAAGCCTTGACCACCTTGGACATGTTATGACCAATCTTTGACCAGTGACCCTATGCGGAAACGCTTGGGTTTTCCACGAAAAACGACCTTGTGTCACGTCTTGACCTCGTGGGAGTCAAGTAATCCCACGAAAAACGACCTTGTGTCACATCTTGACCTCGTGGGAGTCAAGTAAATACCGCCGGCCAGGGAGCAGCCCGGCCTGCGACCATGGCAAAGTCTAGTTTGGACCATATCAGGACCTGCTAAGACAACCAAGACCAGAACTTGACTAAGCTTTGACCAGCTTGGACATGTTATGACCAAAACATTGACTAAGCCTTGACCAGCTTGGACATGTTATGACCAATCTTTGACCAGTGACCCTATGCGGAAACGCTTGGGTTTTCCCACGAAAAACGACCTTGTGTCACGTCTTGACCCCGTGGAGTCAAGTAATCCCACGAAAAACGACCTTGTGTCACATCTTGACCTCGTGGGAGTCAACTAAATACCGCCGGCCAGAGAGAAGGAAGCCTTCCTGATTCGCGACTTTGACGCGCCCAGTCAAGTCGACCAAGCCCAGCAGCTGACGGGACCCAGCAGCAGTAGCAGCAGTTGTTTAAACAGTCCTTTTCAGGGCTAACTTCAAGGCTCCACTCACTTCACTCTTTGCTACTGCCTTCCCTCTGAGACGCCAGCTCACTCCTGCAGCTTCCAGCTCACTCCTGCAGCTTCCACACCCCCTGCAGCAGTTGCTCACTCTTGCAGCTTCCAGCACTCCTGCAGCTTCCAGCAGTCTCCAGCTCACTCCTACCGCTTCCAGCTCACTCCTGCAGCTTCCAGCACTCCTGCAGCCTCCAGCTCACTCCTGCAGCCTCCAGCTCACTCCTGCAGCTTCCAGCAGTCTCCAGCTCACTCCTACCGCTTCCAGCTCACTCCTGCAGCTTCCAGCACTCCTACCGCTTCCAGCTCACTCCTGCAGCTTCCAGCACTCCTGCAGTTTCCGGCACTCCTGCAGTTTCCAGCTCACTCCTGTAGCTTCCAGCACTCCTGCAGTTTCCAGCTCACCCCTGCGGCGCTCTACTGACGTCCCGCTACCTATTACAGCACCCGCTGACGATCCTATCCAGTGCCCACTGACGTCCAGCGCCCGTTAACGTCCGGACACCGTACCCGAACAAACGACCTCTGTCGTCTTACCATCCACCGTTCGCAAATAAAGACACGATTTCCATCGTCTACAACGGACCATCTGCGTTTGTCATTCTTCTTTGCTATTGCCATCTCCTTGCCTTTGTGTCCCCTATTTTAGTTGTACGGTCGATTGGCACTCACACCTCTCGTCCCGCTGCAACAAATCAATTGCCTAATTATTTAGGTTTGGGCACTAAAGGCCCTGTCAAAGAGATTCAAAATGAGTCCGGACACTTCCAATAGTTATCCGCAACAGGTAGAACGGAATCTTAGCCTAATTATCTAGGCTTGATCTTGGCGCTAAAGGCCAAGCAAAGACAATAAAAAATGAGTCCGGACATTTCCAACAATTTTCCGCGACTGAGTCAAAGGGCGCGGGCCGTTCTAAAATGCCCGTCAAAATCCGACCAATGAAATTGGTCGTTACAAATCAGCCAATAGGCGCTTAAATTGCAGAATTTCTTACAGAATTTAAGCGCAGTTGTACTAGACTGGCGTCGAGATCTCATCAATTGACAGTTGAGCTGGCTAGATACAGCCATACGTTCAATGCTAACAATGTCTTAGATGTGGGGGGAGGAGCTTTGGAATACCGAGTAATGTAAACAATGTTTTACAATCTGAAATGTTTCGATAGAAAAACAAAAAAAAAACAAACAAAAAAACAAAAAAAAAAACAAAGACAAAACAAATCAATCAATTCAAAAGCCCCATCAGAAAAAAGCCTGGTGGGGGAACCTGGCACTGATGACCCGACCAAGCGGTAGGTAGTAATGTATTACATGGTACCAGTTGTAATGTTACCTGACATAAGACAATCATTTTTTTCCTTTTTAAAAACTCACATTTATATATTGGGTACGTATGCTTGCACTAAAAACAGTTCTCCACACGCAAGATAATACGATGGCGCGAATAAATACGATTAAAGGGAAGATAACTGTAGATATTTTCGTTGCTGCATATTAGCGTCTGGTTTGTCTTATCTGACATATTTTAACTGTAATGATCTTCCGTCTTTATTTTTAGCCTTCTCTCAAACAGAGCGTTAAAGACAGAAGCGACCAACATGGACGTCGTTTTCTTAACGTCTTCCGTTAGCATCGACCAACAATCGCAATGATATAATTAGCACCTCAGCGAACTTCCGGGAACTGTTGACATCTGTTGGTAAAATAAATTCTAAAAAAAAAAATGGCTGTTGGTAAATACATTCAAATGAAACATGGAAGATCATGTGTGGGTGGGTGCGTAACACAAGAGATGCTTAGGTAGGTGTATATCTTAAAATCATTTTTTTACCCATTGGACATAGCGGATTATCAACTTTTAATTCGATTGGCAGCAACAAGTCTAACTGACACAGGCCTTTCTTTGCATTACTTGAGAAAATTATTTTAACCTGTAAAAATGCATTGATTCTGTGCAAGTCATTCATTGTTTCTTTTTTCTTCTTCTTGTTTTTTCTTTCTTCATGTCTTTTGTTCCGTTTGTTTGTTTCTTTCTCTTTTTCTTTTCTTTCTGTTATTCGCTTCTTTCTTTTTTTTTCTTTTTTGTTTCTTTCTTTATTTCAACTCTTTCTTTTTGTCTTTCGTTGTTTTCTTTCTTTCTTTCTTTATTTATTTTGTCTTTTTTCTGTTTTTTCTGTTTTTTCATTCGATTCTCTATTTTTTGTTTCTTTTTTCTATCATTGCTATTCTTTCGTTATTTCCATTTTATTTTTCTTTTCTTTTCTTCTTTTTTTAATAAACATCATTTTAGTTTGCCTTATTAACACTAGGCTAAAAATGATGACGATTTTCTCAAATCTTCATTATTTCTTTATTTCTTTTGTCTTTATTTCCATCTTTTGTTTGCTAGTTTTTTTCTTTCTTTCTTTATGGCTTTCGTTTCGTTTCGTTTCTTTTTTTTTCCTGTTTTTGTTTGTTTGTTTCTTTCTTTCTTTCTAATATTTCATCCTTTATTTGTTTGTTATTTTCTTTTTCCATCTTCATTAAGCATTTCCATCCTATCGTTCCAGGAAGAACGTCTTTATCTGCCATGTTCTATCGTTACAAAAGTCGGATCACTCCCGACCCCCTAAAAAAAAAAAAAAAAATGGAGTACCGAGCTGACGTATCTGGAATTTCATATTTCTACTCAATCTTCACTTTCCAGACTTGCTCGACTTCAGAATCGTTTTCTCAATGCTGAAAGCCCGTCGCTACACAATCTCTATTTCCATAGCATATGTTGAGATGAGCGCTCCATTCTTTAGATTCCCAGTTCAAACCTGTACTGCTCGGACGCTCCAGGCAACGTCCATGGAGGTGAATCAACCTCATTTCCTCCACATTCTAAATATAAGAACTTTCCATTCAGAGAGCGTTTTCTTTTTTTTTTACAAAGAACACCTACATTGAAGAACAGAGGCCCGTGGGGTTGCTTCCTTGTACACTTCAATCGTGACTTCTCAAGTCGAAGTTCAAACGTCATCAGTCTTTCTTGAAGCCATAATCGTATGACATTTTCTCTTTCACTCTTAGCATACACTTATTTCATTATAACCATTTTTAAGCAAAACTAATATATATATATATATATATATATATATATATATATATATATATATATATATATATATATATGTGAAAAATGTATATAAATATAAATAAATATATATATGTATAATTATATATTATATGGCAATGTACTTATTAAAAGCGCTCAATATCAGAGATAGAGCTAACATATTTGGTTGGATAGATGTGAGTTTGTGACCCTGGGTTTCATGCTTTAGCGATCGTCAGACAAGGACACTATATATATATATATATATATATATATATATATATCTTACTTATTGTAAAACGCAGATTGTGTGTGTGTGTGTATCTGTAACGTTGATATATTGGATCGGATTTCCTACATTTTTCAACCGATTTCAACAAAACTTCACTAACATAAAATAACCTGGTGGTGGTTCTTAACAGCGCCAAAAATGGGAAAAACACAATTGTTTTTGCACAAAATCAATTTGAAAACACGATTAAGAGACATCGTGAGAATGAAAGGGGGACAACTCACATCGGATTAAAAACCCAGGTTGTTTGTGTGTGTGTGTTCTTTTATATATGGGATCGGATTTCCTACATTTTTCAACTGATAAAACAAAAATTCACTTTTTGGGGGAGCAGGTAGTGTTTCTTATTCTCTTGCACACTTTTTTCTTTATTTTTACATTCAGAATGTTTTAAAAATTCCATTTACAAGACAATTGTTTATAATAAAATTCTATTCAATCAGGAGACTCATGACGATTGAAAACAATGTTTTTGTTTGATTTTGGGTTTGACCAATTCGTAAAAAAAAAAAAAAAAAAAAAAAACTAATTAAGACATGCGTGTCCATCAATCTTAAACAATAATCTAACGATCTCTACTGATTGTACGAATCCAAACATCGGATAATTCTTTATCTTTAGGGAAAGATAATAAAATCTAAACATACACAAGTCCTCCTAACGAAAAATAATAACGGGAAACTACTTTAAATACACATGGTGTCCAATTTTTTTTACTGTATTCAATAAGTAAAAATCATAAATTGTAAAAGATTATTATTACAGAAAGGCTACTAAATGAATAAGATTTGTTATTTATTAATAAACCCAAATAAAGTTAATATTTTTTGTATTAGAAACAACGAGTGGAAAATATATTCAAATCAGAATTCAAATTATGAATCACCACAGGCAAAATATGCAATTTTTTTACTGTATTCAATAAGTAAAAATCATAAATTGTAAAACTAAAAGATTACAGAAAGGCTACCTACATTTTTCAACCAATTTCAACAAAACTTCACTTTTTTGGCATGTAGTGTTTCTTATTGTCTTGCACACGTTTTTCTTTATTTTTACATTCAGAATGCTTTAAAAATTCCATTCACAAGACAATTGTTTATAATAAAATTCTGTTCAATCGGTAGAGACTCATAACGATTGAAAACAATGTTTTTGTTTGAGTTTGGGTTTGACCAATTCGTAAAAAAAAAAAAAAAAAAAAAAACTAATTAAGACATGCGTATCCATCAACCTTAAACAATAATCTTTGTTAATTTTATTTTTCAGTCTTTATGATGTTGGGTACTTGATCTATCTCTTACTGTTATATCCCCGGGCAACGCCGGGCTCTACTGCCAATATATATATATATATGGAACAATATTTTTAAATAAGTAAATTTATAATATTTATGCTCTGTAGCATTGAGGACTGTTTTGTAAAAAATGAAAAATAAAAATATTAATAAGAACACCGGATTACTGTTCTTTCTCTTTATTATAATATATATATATATATATATATATATATATATATATATATATATAGTGTGTGTGTATGTGTATGTGTGTGTGTGTGTGTGTGTGTACTATATGTTGCACTATATGTTCTTTCATGAGTTGGTACATAGATTAAGCGTTGTGTATATCTCTGGGGTCACTTGTTGTAAAACACTTTTAAGTGCTCCTTTACAGTTACACGATTAGTAATGTATTTGAGGACCTCTTTACATGTTATCTAAATACTGATTTAGAAATGTACTAGTCAAATATATGCATAACTCTTTATGTATACAAATAGATAAAATATATGAGTATGGGTGTATATGTGTGTGTACACATACGTGTGGGTGAACACATTTACGTTAAAACATATATGTGTAGATGGATGCGAATGTGTGTATGCATGTAGGCACATATGTGTATGTGTAGTTATATGTGTATATACAAAAATGTATATGTATGTAGGTATTGTGATTTGTGTACCCTCTCCAGCTTACCCCTTCCTCTCTTCTGTTCTCTGCTTCTCCCTCTTTCTTTATTTCTTTTTCTTGTCCGGTGAATAAGAGGTCAACGCTACAACCATCGCATTTCCTAGAGACATATGCCTCCCTCCCTTCCTAATCTGTGTAACTATCTTAAAAAACAACTTCCGTTAATCTTGTTTTTCATTTCGTTTTCAGTTGATTCCTGGAAGAATTTTTGAATCCATTCATTGTTTTGAAACCGCAATGGTGTGAGGGAGCAAAATCGAATTTTATTGGTCTCGAGAAATGAAATATTTCCATGGCTTTCTGAAGTCTCCCATTTGTTAATTATTACTTGCTCTGTTTATTACATTGAGCTCTTGGGATTTATATCCTCCCTGGAATTATCCGTACGGATTACCAATTAACTCTTTATTTTATTTTATATATATATATATATATATATATATATATATATATATATATATATATATATATATATATTTGGGGTGGGGAGAGAGAGAATGAATAGAAAAATGAAATTAATCACTTAACTGATTGTGGTTGCCTTCAGCATTCCGTCTGTGGAGTTTCGTAGACAGAGCTACCAGCAATCACACCGTGCACTTGTCAGGAGGTATCAGCAATAAAGAAGTTCCATTTCTTCTTCTTCTTCTTCTTCTTCTTCTTCTTCTTCTTCTCCTCCTCCTCCTCCTCCTCCTCCGTTGTTTTTTTTCGTCCATCATTTTCGCTGTTGCTATTCGTCTTTTTCATTCCTATTGAATCTGTTTCTTCAGACTTAAATCACTTTTTCACCGATTTTCCTTCTTATCGTCTCCTTTCTTCCTTTTCGCTTCTTTTCTCTTTTTTTCCCCCTTTTTTCTTTCTCCCCTGCTTTCCTTTTTATCTCCCTTTGTGTCATTTTTTTCCTCTCATTTTCCCGCTTCTCTTCTTTTTTATTTGCTTCTGCTTTTCTTCATTTTTCTTCTGCGTTGTTTTTCATTTTTCTTTTACTAAGCCTTTTTTTAAAAAATTTAATCGGCATCACCCCCCTAAGCAAGGCAGTAAAGCCACTAAAACACAAAGGGTTACACCATTTTTACCTTCCTTTTTCCTTCTGCTCTTAATCCTTCTATTTTTCTATTACTTTTTTCTATTTGATCACCTTCATTTGAACTTCTTTTATTTCATTCTTTCATATCTTTCTTCTTTTTCCCTCTTCTATTTGTCCTCCTCCTCATTCTTCTTCTTCTTCTTGCTGTGTCCCTGCAGGATGATGGCGATCATGGCTCTCCACAATTCCTTGTCTTTGTTATTTTTGTGGCTTTTTACTATCTCTCCTAAACCTTCTTCCGCCATCCATTTACAAAAGCTCATTCTTCTTCTTCTTCTTCTTCTTCTTCTTCTTCTTCTTCTTCTTCTTCTTCTTCTTCTTCTTCTTCTCTTTTGTTTTTCTGCGTTACTTGTTCTTTTCATTTCTTCTTCGCCATCATTCTTACCTGTCTTTTTTCTTTCTGCTCTTATTCCTTTGTTCTATGTCTTCTTATTTGATCATCTTTATTTGAAAGACTTTTTCTTCATGCTTTCTATCTTCTCTCTTCTATTTGTCCTCCTCCTTCTTTTTCTTCTTCATCGTTTCTTGTCTTTTTTCCTCGTTTTTTTTCATTTCTGCTTCATCGCAATTCTTATCTTTCTTTTTCCTTCTGAACTTATTCCTTCTTTCTTTTCTCTTCTTCCTATTTGATCATCTCCATTTGAACTTATTTTTCTTCATACTTATCTATCTTCCTTCTTTTTCCCTCTTATTTTGTCCTCCTACTCCTCCTCCTCCTTTCTTCTTCTTCTTCTTTCTCTTCTTTTTCCCTCTTCTTTTTGTCCTCCTCCTCCTTTCTTCTGTTTTTTCTTCTTTCTTCTTTTTTCCCTCTTCTTTTGTCCTCCGCCTCCTCCTTTCTTCTTCTTCTTTTTCTTCTTCTGTTTTCTTATTTCTCTTCTATTTCCCTCTTCTTTTTGTCCTCCTTCTCCTTTCTTCTTCTTCTTTTGTTTTCTTCTTTCTCTTATTTTCCCCTCTTCTTTTGTCCCCCTTCTCCTTTCTTCTTCTTCTTCTTCTTCTTCTTCTTCCGTTTACTTCTTTCTCTTCTTTTCCTCTCTTCTTTTTTTCATGCTCCTCCTTCTCCTCCTCCTCCTTTCTTCTTCTTCTTCTTTCTCTTCTTTTTCCCTCTTCATTTTGTCCTCCTCCTCCTTTCTTCTGTTTTCTTCTTTCTCTTCTTTTTCCCTCTTCTTTTTGTCCTCCGCCTCCTCCTTTCTTCTTCTTCTTTTTCTTCTTCTGTTTTCTTATTTCTCTTCTATTTCCCTCTTCTTTTTGTCCTCCTTCTCCTTTCTTCTTCTTCTTTTGTTTTCTTCTTTCTCTTATTTTCCCCTCTTCTTTTTGTCCCCCTTCTCCTTTCTTCTTCTTCTTCTTCTTCTTCTTCTTCTTCTTCTTCTTCTTCTTCTTCTTCTTCCGTTTACTTCTTTCTCTTCTTTTCCTCTCTTCTTTTTTTCATGCTCCTCCTACTCCTCCTCCTCCTCCTTTCTTCTTCTTCTTCTTTCTCTTCTTTTTCCCTCTTCTTTTTGTCCTCCTCCTCCTTTCTTCTGTTTTCTTCTTTCTCTTCTTTTTCCCTCTTCTTTTTGTCCTCCGCCTCCTCCTTTCTTCTTCTTCTTTTTCTTCTTCTGTTTTCTTATTTCTCTTTTTCCCTCTTCTTTTTATCCTCCTTCTCCTTTCTTCTTCTTCTTTTGTTTTCTTCTTTCTCTTATTTCCCCTCTTCTTTTTGTCCCCTTCTTTCTTTCTTCTTCTTCTTCTTCTTCTTCCGTTTACTTCTTTCTCTTCTTTTCCTCTCTTCTTTTTTTCATGCTCCTTCTTCTCCTCCTCCTCCTTTCTTCTTCTTCTTTCTTTTCTTTTCCCTCTTCTTTTTTGTCCTCCTCCTCCTTTCTTCTGTTTTCTTCTTTCTCTTCTTTTTCCCTCTTCTTTTTGTCCTCCGCCTCCTCCTTTCTTCTTCTTCTTTTTCTTCTTCTGTTTTCTTATTTCTCTTCTATTTCCCTCTTCTTTTTGTCCTCCTTCTCCTTTCTTCTTCTTCTTTTGTTTTCTTCTTTCTCTTATTTCGCCCTCTTCTTTTTGTCCCCCTTCTCCTTTCTTCTTCTTCTTCTTCTTCTTCTTCAGTTTACTTCTTTCTCTTCTTTTCCTCTCTTCTTTTTTTCATGCTCCTCCTTCTCTTCCTCCTCCTTTCTTCTTCTGTTTATTTTTTCTTATCCCTTTTTCCGTCGTCTGTTCTTTGTGCCTTTTTCTTTTTTCTTTCTCTTCTGTTTTCCTCTATCCTTCTTCATCGTTTCTTCTTTGTCTTTCGTCACTATGGCCTTTATGATTTTTCTTCTTCTGTATTACTTCTTCACTTTTTTCCACCGATACTTTTTTTTAATTTTCTTCTTAATTCTTATCTCGTTTCTTTCTTTTTCCTTCTTTCCTGTTTTCTACTTTACTACTGTTACCTCCAAACCCCCTCTCTTGATCTTTCTTCTCCTGCAACTTATCTTCTACTCCACCCCCGACGAGGCCTATTTCTCCCGTCCTTTCCTCCTCCTCTCATCCACTCCCCACCTCCTACCACTGTTCAGAATTCCTCCTCAAACACAAACATATGTTATATCTATGTTGTTAATGTTCCGCTTACCTTTCTTATAGTTTTCTCCTTTTCCAAACACAGATAAGGTTGTTTCTACATTTGAAGTATCTTTATTATTTCCTGTACAGTCAAAATAAACAATCAAACAGGAAATACTGCAGTCTCTTTAAAGATATACACAATTCAAAACGAATTATTATTTCCCGACGAGACAGTGAATGAACTTTGTTAAAATAAGCTTAATACCTACAGTGTGGTCCGAAAGTCTTGTTACCGCTATCAAAAAGTAATGAGAACAATAGAACAAGTAATACAAAGCACATTTACTGGATTCAGTTGATTCACTTTCATTGACGCAATTCACGCATCAAGAAGGTCTGTATGACACCATCATTTTCGTGTAGGAGATCGTGTCAGCCATTTGAAATAGAAAATTATATTATCTAGGTGGTGACAAGAGTTTCGGACCATCCTGTAGATTAAAATTGATACAAGGTGGTTCAAAAGTCTTGTCACCCCTGACCAAATATTAGGTTGGTGCAAAAATAATGACGTAATAATGTCGTTTTTGACGTGTTTTTAACGTCAAAAACGACATTCTTACGTCATTATTTTTGCACCAACCTAATAGCAACGAGAATAGAACAAGTTATCTAGTAATACAAAGCACATGTATTGGATTCAGTTGATTCCCTTTCATGGACGCTGTCATACATCGAGAAGGTCTGTATGAACACCATTATTTTCGTGGCACAAAATGATGCGGCGCCATGTCCTGTGTGATATTTTACGAAGCTATGCTTTGTTGATTGTTGCAAAGGCTCTTCTAAAGACATCATTCAAATGATGGGTATTCTGGTATCGTTCGGGTGAAGCTATCTCATTGATGATACCCAACAGAGCGTTGAAGTAGAAAATTATATTATGCAAGGGAGACAAAACTTTCGGACGACCATGTATTTTCCTCTCATTCATAACATAGGTACCTCCATGAGATCGCTAGAAAAGAGCATAGAATGATGAAAAAGACGCTAAATTTGACGAAAAAAAAAATTATCGTCTAAATCTTCATGTTATTATTAAGAGGAAAGATCAAAGTATTATTGTAGTATATTTTTTTTAACATTTTTTAATCGTTCCGAGCACGTCCGAAAATTTCGTTAAAAATCTTGTTGTTTTCGAGTCAGCAAAATTGACAGATAATCAATCATGACATCCATTTTTTTTTACATTTTATAAAAAAAAAATGAAAATCTCAGTTTGAAATTCTTTTAAAAAACAATTATCATTTTTTCAAAACTTATTTTAAGAAAATCAGAAATTATAATGTTTATTTAAAATATTTTGAACCAAGGTTGACTTAGCTTCTGCGCCGAAAAGATGTAATTTGAAAATAAAACAAAGCAGGTCATAACCTTTCGCGTCACTTGACAGGTGTTGAATGACGTATTGACGGATTACGCGATCCTAATTTGTTCCACGGAAGACGAAAAGTGAAGTTATTTAGATTTAAGTGAACAAATTATTTACCTCGTTATTTTTAAGGAAAACTTTCAGCGCTCTAATTTTTTTTGTACTTAGCTTTCACTTTTACGTTTAGGATGCTTTATGGAAAATATATTATAAAGAAATTAAAATAAGACTGTTAAGAGTGAGATTAAATTTCATATTTCATAAGAAAGGTATCTAATTAATTTATAGGTACCTTTCTCATGAAATTTCATCAGTAGTGTACATAAAATACTATAATTTTATGTACATTTATTACATTTTACTGTGTTATTTGTATTTCCATTCGTTTTATTATTAATTTTGATATTTCATTTATGGAAAAATGTCATAACTGAGATTAATATAAAAATAAGATCATATAAATTTCATAAGATGATACTGATACTTGTAGGTACCCTTCTCAGTTGAAATTGAAAAATCAAATTAACTATTCCACACGTGTTTCGCAAAAGTAAAGGCCTCAACAGCGGAGAACAATGCTTAACTCAAATAACGTAACTTAATTGTATTCTAGTTGGTCTTCCGTACTTTATAATTACAGCCCGATTACAAACACAAAATTACATTTCTTAATTACTGCGGATCTTCTGATTAGTCAAAATGATACAATTTACAACGCCATAAAAAAAGATCTATTTCATAAGGAGACTTAGTAAACCTGATGCGGCTTTTAACTAATTTTATATTTTAACAACTTAAATGTAAAAATCTATTATAATTAAAGAAATAACAAATAATTGTATTATAAATTCATTTTTCATCGAAAAACTTTTTTGCTTTCAGAAAATATTGTCCATATTCATAAAAACAACTAAAAGCAAATAAAAGCATTTGAAATTAAATAATATCTTTGTTTTATTGAATTTTGTATGTTACAATTCAGAGCTGATTTTCAGGTTAGGGGTATCCAATTAAAAACAAAAAAAAAACATGATTAACTATTGTAATCACTAAACTAGACTCGATCGAATTTCTAGCGTTTTCATAAAATTAGTTATGGGTGGGGTAATAAATATAAAAAAAAATTATTCCATGACTTTAATAAAAAAAAAACCCTATGTATAATAACTTCGATCATCTGTGAATAGTTTCTGAAAGTTTCATTAACATCCAACAATTATTTTTATTTTTGCAAGATTTTCCAAATTAATGTGTGTCATACAAAAAAAAAAACAACAAAAAAAAAACATGCTAAAAATTGTATATATTATTTTACTAGTTCCGGTGATACAAAGAGAAACAAGTTTTTTTTTACCAAAATTTAGAATGTCCTAAAAAGGAGGAAAATTTAAAAAAAATAATTTTAAAAAACTTTGGTCTTTCCTCTTAATAATAACAAATACTTAGACGATAAAATTTTGTTTTCGTCAAGTTTGGCGTCTTTTTCATCATTCTATGCTCTTTTTTTAGCGATCTCATGGCGGTACATATCTAAACTTTAATTCATTTTAATCAGGGTTTTCCACAAAAAACTGCGATACCTGAGGTTGTAAATGAATTTTAAAAAAATGAAAGATTTTTCTTGACGTTAGTTTTAATTTCAAGCAAGTAGATTAAATTTAATGTTTCCAATAATTAAAATACATTGCTGTAGTTACCTTAAAAAAACCCTAAAAAACAACAAACGCGATACATAAGGTTTAAAATTAATTTTTAAAAATGAAATATCTTGAAGCATTTATTTTAGTTTTAATTTCAGGCCAATATTTTCAACAATCAAATTACTTTGCTCGATTTCAAAAACTAATTTGAATTGACTGGAAGGAGTTTTATTCTAAAATATCCGATTAGCACCCTTTTTTTTAGTCGTCTTTCATCGCAATGTAATTCTCTTTATTAATCTTTCAAAAATAAAATATACTTTTCTAAAACTTTATTTGAGGAATATCAGCTGATTTAAAGCTAATTAATATGATGTGTAACAAATATAATTTACTTTAAGTTTAAAATAACACAGAAATACATTTTTAAAACAAAAAGTAGCTGTGTTTTTAACAGACAGTCACCATGTTTTTTTTTTGTGATTGAAGTAGCGATGACAGATTGATTCTACGGAGACTTTATCTGTAAAACATTATTGAAGAAAATGGCGTGAGCGCCTTTTTTTTATATAATTATTAAGTACTAAGTAATCTTAAAGATAGTGAAAAATGTTTTCCGTAATCTAATTTTAGGAATGTTGACTTTTAAAAATCATGGTGCAAAATTATTTTTATTAATTTTTGATTAGATAAATATAGTTTTCAGTTAACAAGATCACCTAAAGCGATTAAGTCCACCATTAGGATAAGTTTATCTTTATGTTGAACGCGGCAGATGACATTATGGAGGTTGTTGTAAAAGTAATCCTTCTCTTGCACGGAGTTGACAGCGAATTAAAACACGGAACTGACATATCAATGGTTTCAGTGAGAAAATGAATGACAGAAAGAAAGAAAGAAGGGGAGATGGAAGTGTTAAATGTAGGGATCTCCATAAAAAAAGGTACCTAAGGTTTAAAATGATTTTTAAAAATGAAAGATCTTGAAGCTTTTATTTTAGTTTTCATTTAAAGCTAATAGATTAAATTTAATATTAATATTTCCAATAAAAAATACTTTGCTGATTTAAATTGACTGTAATGAGTTTTCTTTTGCTAAAATAGTTGATTAGCATCCTTTTAAGTCATCTTCCATTGCAATATAATTCTCATTATTAAAAAATCTTCCAAAAATAAAATTTTCTTTTCTGAAACCTTATTTGAGGAATATTAGCTGATTTAAAGTATACTGAATCTGATTTGAAACAAATATTATTTACTTTAAGTTTAAAATATCACAGAAATGCATGTTTTTAACCTGACAGTAGCCGTTTTGACGTGTTGACAGCGTGGGGATATTCTACGGTGACTTTATTTGTAAAACATAATGGAAGAAAATGTCATTAGACCCTTTTTATATAATTTTTAAGTACTCAGTTTTCTTAAAAAATTAGAAAAATATTTTCAGCAATCTAATGTTTTATTGAATTTTAGAAACGTTGATTTTAAATTTACTATAGCTATCGCTCTTATTTTCTGATAATGTCATGTATGGTCAACCGTACTTACAAAAATCGGCACGTTTATACATTTTGACATACAAAAAAAAAAAATCTAAATTCTTTTAAAAATATTGGTGTTTAATGATTTGTATTAAGCCTTTGCATTTATGAT